TACTTTAAAAGCGTCCATAACACATCAAATTTTGAACTTTAATTAGTACTCTCAATCTAATATGATGATATGACATAGAATCATAACAAATCAATCCATTACCCTAACCCCTTAACCTTCAATTTTGAATCCCAACCGAAAATCCCAAATTGTAAACATAAACCCTAATCCTAAATCCCTAAATCCTTCAAATTAAAGTAAAATTTGAATGATTTTTTTTAAATTCATGTGCTTCTTGTTCATAATATCATAAGCAATAATTGATACCGTTTTGACACGAATCGCATGGTCAGAATGACAATTATGAGGCAGGTGCACTGAGTGCACCCAAATACGCCACTATATATAATAGATGAGTCTATTATACCTATAACTCATTAAAAAAATATACAACAAATTTTTTCAGTCTAATTTGTTAAGACCAAGGTTGTCACTCGATTTCACCAATGAGTCGTTTAAGCTAGTGGGTTAAGGATTAATGGATGAATTGGATTAACCTAGTTAAGCCTAGCTTTATCCAGGTGCATGAAAATTTTATTGCTTTCACATGTATTATACTTAGATATTAATGAAATTTATATGATAAATTTAGATACAATGACGATTTAATATAACTTATTCGTTGAAATTGAGTTTCATTTTTATACTTTTCTCTCACTTGGAACTGATGCTTTTAAATGACGCTTTAATTCTAAATCTCTTCCCTCTTTCTTTTTATCTTTTTCCATTTTATTTTCTAGTTTTATCTTTTTTTCTTTTCATTGCTATCATATTCCATTCTCAATGTTCTTACTCTTCTTCTCCAATTCGATTTCATGAATATATACAAATGAGGAAATTGGTCTTTGTTAATCACACCAAGTCTCAATCCAAATATATGTTCGTCTAATCTTGTGGCTTATTCTTTGTTTGAGATGTGGTTGATTGGCGATGTGACCTTGTTGCTTGAAGGAAAATGGAATTGACTACTAAGGAACTGTGTTGGCTTTTGAGATGATTGTTGCGTGCCGATACTAAAGGAGGAAAAGATATTATGGGATAACCGAATACAGGTGGTTGATGTATGTTGCTGCATGGGTCTTTGATAAGGAAAAGGACGACATGTCAACAGAGCTAGTGATTAGATTTGTTGAAAATGATGTCGGTTTGAAGTGAATCAGTGCTTGATGAGTTAGTTGAATCAACTCGATTTTCTAATAACTGGTTTTCTTAGTTTGACCAAGTTTGGGTTGATAACCAACTGGGCCTCCAATATCCTAACAAATACTCGGGTTTGGGCAAAACTGATTCGCCCAACCATGTCAAACTTGGGTTGACAATCATGCTTATGATTCTTGTCTTTTTTGGAAGGTACATTAGTTCAAATTCCAATACTTGTTTATTTTCTAAAAATAAATATGTTTAATAATTGTGAAGGCAAATATACCATTCATACTTTCGCTCTCGTTGTATGAATTTGAAACAGGAAAATACTTTTCTCATTCCAGTCTTAAATATTGTATTGTGTTTAGACGTAGACATATGTCATTGCCCTCGAAATATATTAACATGTCAAAAAATGTTAAAATGAACCAATAATTAAGCTCAATCTCATACAATGATCATTGGATCTAATCAGGCCAGATTAGCACACAAAAAAGCGTGCTATTAGTGACAAAAATTAGCGAGGGCGAATTAATTTCGTCGCTGAAAATGGCTTTTAGGACACTTTTGTCAATAATGTTCGGTCAACAAGTTATGTATTTGCGACAAAGCATAGACGTCATCGATAAAGACAAGAATCTTTGTCACTAACTATACTTTTTGGAGGGAAAAATTGGCGCCATGGTTATCTGCTATGAATAAAATCTGTTCGTCAGTAATGTTCCGTCAAAACATTGATTTTGTGACAAAGCCTACATGTCGTCGGAAAAGACTGCCATTATTGACAAAAAATTAGCGAGGGTGGGTCAATTTCATCGCTGGAAATTATTTTAGGGTAGACATTCCACTTTCATCAATATTAATTCATCAACACGTTGTGTATTTGTGACAAAGCCTAAACGTCATCAGTAAAGACCAAAATCTTTGTCACTAACTCTACTTTTTTGGAGGGATAATTTGGCGCCATGGTTATCTGCTACAAATAAAATATGGTTGTTGGTAATGCTTCATCAAAATATTGAGTTTGCAAAAAATTCTACACGTCATCGGAAAAGATTGCTATTAGTGACAAAATATTAGCGATGGCGGATCGATTTCGTAGTATCAATTCACCAAAAAAGTACTTATGAGAGATTTAGACATTTAGTTGCTAGCTAACCGCTGAAAAGGTCTTCTGATTTTTGAGATTTTGGGTTTGTGTATGTTTTTCTTTTAAAAGATACAATAAATATATCAGGCATGATTGATTGTATCCCTTCCCTCTCTTAAAAGTGGTCATGGTTCAAATCCCCATATGTATTTAATTTTTATCAATAAATAAGTAGTTGTGAAAACAAAAATATCCTTCCTACTTTCACTCTCGATACAGGAAATTTAAAATGGAGTAATGGATTTTGGTTTTCACCTTTAATAATATGTTTTGATGAAGGAGTTCCAAATTAAAACAAATAATTTAACATTCCCCCCCCCCCCCCAAGGATGAGAACTCTGTAACCAAAGATAACAACCCTTAATTACGCATTTCAACTTTAATTAAATATCAGTATCACCTATTATTTATTATCATACAGGTGGCGCATATTTATTGGGAGGGAGCACGGCTGAGGTGGTGCTCCGGGAGCACTCAAGAATTCCTCACAGCAGCAGACTGCTACGCACGTCCCACAGGTATAGGAACCGAAAAGTGTAGTGGGAAAAATAAAGTAAAGAATAAATAAATAAATGAAAATATCATTTATCTCTAATACGCCCCCGCAAGATGGACGATGTATCAACAACGCCGATCTTGGAACGTAGAAGATGGAAGCGAGCAGCAGGCAGGGGTTTGGTGGGACGTCCGCGAGTTGTTGAGCAGTAGGAATGTAGCGCACCACAAGACGATTAGCCTGAACAAGTTGACAGACAAAATGATAGTCCAAGGCCATATGCTTCATACGTGAATGAAACATAGGATTGGAGCATAAATATGTAGCGCCATGGTTGTCCGAGTAGAAAGTGGGAGGGGTGCGAAGTGGATGATGCACCTTAGCCAGAAGATTCTGGATCCACTCGTTTTCCGCAGTGGCATGGGCGATTGCTATGTATTCGGCCTTAGTGCTAGATCGGGCAACGGTCCATTGTTTCTGAGACTTCCAAGAGATGAGAGTGGAGCCGAGATAGAGGAGATACGCCGAAGTAGAAGATCGGTAATCCAAATTACCAACCCAGTATGAATCGGCAAAGGCTGATAGTACTAGCGGCTGCAAAGAACGATGAATGACAAGACCATGGTCGAGGGTACCAGCAACATACCGGAGCAGGCAATTGACATTTTGCCAATAGGAAGTAGTAGGTGCGTGCCTGAACTGGTACGGTTTGTTGACGAAGAAGGAGATATCAGGTCGAGTGTAGACCAAGTATTGAAGAGTGCAAAGGATTTGACGGAAACGAGTGGCGTCGGTAGGCGGAGTGACATCAGAGAGCGAAAGCGAGGCAGTGGAAGGCTTTGGAGTCGGAACAGGCATGGCATCCAACATGTCAAGCGTTGAAGAACTTCCTTCATATATTTATGTTGAGATAGTAAGTAGCCCGTCGGAGTTGGTATAAATTCAATGCGGAGAAAGTAGTTGACATCACCTAGGGTCTTCAACTAGAACCGCCGTGAGAGAGCTTCACGAAATGTAGAGAGTAGGTGGGCATTGTTTCCTGTGAGCAAAAGGTCACCCACATAGGCAAGGAAATACAGAAGTACACCACCACGGCTATAGACAAAAAGTGATGAATCAGAAAGTGTTTTAGTGAACCCGGACTCGAGGAGGAATGTGTTGAGCGTCGTATACCAAGTGCGAGGAGCCTGGCGGAAACCATAGATAGCACGCTTGAGATGGCACACATGATGAGGACACATTAGATCCTTGAAGCCGGGTGGCTAAACCATGTAGACTTCATCTTGGAGAGGACCATGGAGGAACGCATTGTTGACGTCGAAATGAGCAATTGACCAATTGTAGGATAAAGCCAGTGTAAAAACTGTGCAGGTAGTGACCGGCTTGACCCCAGGACTGGAGGTATCGTCGAAGTAAACGCCGTGACGCTGATGGTAACCCTTGGCAACCAACCGCGTTTTAAAGAGAGCTACGGAACCATTACGATCTCTTTTGACACGGAAGACCCACGAGATTTCCCAAGACGTTGTAATGAGGGAGACGGGGAACAAGATCCCAAGTCTCATTTGCGTGAAGAGCTTGATTTTCAGCAGTGAGCGCATCAGATCATTCCGGATATAGTAGCGCCTCCTTGACAGAGGCAGGCTCAAGTGGCGGAGAAGACCGAGCTGGGGCCGAAGCAGCTGTAGTGTGAAAAAATTTCTTCGGCTGAAAAATTTCATCCTGGGACCGAGTTCACATAGTATGAACCCGAGCAAGAGGCGGAAGCTGGGCGAGCCGCGGAGGCCCAAGTGGAGGAGTGATGGGCTGGGCTGGTGGCCCAGTGTCCGAAGGGGGGCCAGATGATGTTGAGGAGGAAGCTTCAGATGAGTGTTAAAAACATGTCAGCATGGTTGTTAGAGTTAGTGGGTAGTAGAATAAGCTTCTCCATATTTGGTGGGGAAAGTTCAGGAGACGTAGGAGCAGAAGGTGGAGTTTGTTCCACTTAGTTAGGTTGAGCTGGACGTGGGAGTTATGATTCATTTGTTTCCAACCTTATGTATTTAAGGGGTGATTTGAATGGAATAGAAAGGCAAGCAGAAAGTTAGTAGAAGAAACCCTGGAATTTCTCGCAAAGAAAGGAGAAACTTGGTCTACTCCTGCCGAAAAAAGGGAGATATCCAATCCAACACGTATCATTTGGTATCAGAGTCGTTGATCCAGGTTTTGGTCATGATGCGCTCAGAGAGATCATCAAAGGAGGAGGAGCTCATCAATCGGGCAATCCGAATGCTAGATCGTGTCATCTCTACCTGCGACATGATGATTGCGTCGTATGAAAAATACAAGCCATCAACACCACAACCACCAACGCAAGTCGAGACCCTAGCCACCATTGAAGAGGAGGAGATCTCGGTCCTACCCATACCAACCCAACAGGCACCTGCTACTGCTGAGAGCACACCACCGCCGCAAGTTGAAGCTCTAGCCGAATTGGCAAAGGACGAGGAAGAAGATGCTGTCGGCGGAAAGCCTGCCCCGCCGTTGTCGTTGGCGTTGTTCCCTCTTGCCGCGCCGACGAGTGCCTACGAACCACCGCCTCTGCAAGTCAAAACCATCGTTGTTGCTGAAGAGGGGAGAACCCTCTCCTACCCGCAAAACCCAGTTTTTCCTTGCCATCATCACGAATAAACAACCCGTCCCAGCGGAAGAGGCTGAGCCAAACCAGCTGGTGATAAAGGCGGCGGCCGCACTAGAGCTGTTACTAAACTCGACGCATTCCGATGCCGCTGTTGCTGTAACCATGTTGTCCGAGACGATCTCCCACACGGCGCTACTCACAATTGGTGATAATTGCAGGACTGATGGCTGCAAAGCTAATTTCAATACATGTAAATTTCGGAAAAAGAAAGATGGAGGTCGACGTCAATTGCATCCGAGTAAGGTAACTCATAATACAGGGACACGAGTTCTTAATATGTTTACTTCTTTGGGTCAGCGCCTTAGTTCAAAAGGAGTGCAAGTTTTATTGGCAGTAGGGGAGTCCTTCCATTCTCAACATATTGAGGAGGGTAAATCAAGGAAGCGTACATGGAGGTATCGGCAGACAATAGGGATTAAGAGGTTACGGCGAAAGGACGGGGTTGTGGCGAAACCAGAGATCAGTAAAGGGAAAGATTCGATCACATGATATTGTACTATTTTATTATGATAAGAGGGTCGTGGTTAAGATGGGGATGGAGTACGAGCAAGCACAGCTGGCCTCGAGCATCCAACATCAGGTTGAAGTCGAGATTGCATTGCAGTTCGGTGGAATTGGCTTCTCGGAGTCAGTGACCAGGCCGTTGTTTAAGGAATTGAACGTGGGTTTGTTCAAGAAGACTTTGAGGCCAGTGAATCTAGGGAAGGTCATGTGGTGGAAGAAGTCGGCTATGGACAACAACATGTCTGGCTGGGAAGCAACGAGCCGATCAGGAGCTGGGGATGGTTCGTACAATGAAGCTACTAGTGGGGTTGAGATGTGCGAACTGATTTGGAATTTTGGGAGTGTTTGGTTTTCATTTAGGGTTGACGGGATGGAAGTGCCTCGTGGTCCATTGTTATTATTGGGAGGGATAATAAAAGGGCAGGAAATACGTGGGATTAGAGAAGTAATGCATGGAATGATGGATTTGGAAGATGAATTTCATAGCTTTGAAGGATCTGATCGAGTTCGAGTAACCCATTCACTCGCCATAGAGATGAAGCTCTTGTACGTAGAAGTTGTCGATGTTGGATTTGTTAGAGTGTCTCAACGGATTTGGAAGATTCATATACGCAAAGGAGACTACGTGGAATCGGACCTCGATCTTCAACGATCACTATTTCCAAACTCGGCCTTAAGGACAAGGTCGTTTTTCAGGTGGTGGTAATGATAAGGCCATAATAAGCCACACAGTAGGATAATTGTAGTTGGGTTTGCACTTAATTAATAATTCTAGTTAGGAGTGTTAAAAACATGTCAGCATGGTCGTTAGAGTTAGTGGTTAGTGGAATAAGCTTCTCCATATTTGGTGGGGAAAGCTCAGGAGACGTAGTAGCAGAAGGTGGAGTTTGTTCCGCTTAGTTAGGTTGAGCTGGACGTGGGAGTTAGGATTCATTTGTTTCCAACCTTACATATTTAAGGGGTGATTGAATGGAATAGAAAGGCAAGCAGAAAATTAGTAGAAGAAATCCTTGTATTTTCTCGCCAAGAAAGGAGAATCAGGTCTACTCCCGCCAAGAAAAGGGAGATATCCATTCCAACACGATTTTCTGTTGGCCTTTCTATTCCACTCAATCACCCTTTAAATGCATAAGGTTGGAAATAAATGAATCATGATGCAGATAGATTTATTGGATTTCACTTATTTGGATTAATTATTATTAGTAGTATTAGGTGGATAATTACGATAGTTGTTAGAGGGTAATAAGTTGTTAGAGTTAGTGGTGAGTTATAAATAAGCACCTCCACGTTTAGTGGAGAAAGTATCGTAGTAGTAGTGGAAAATGTGTAGTTTGTTCCACTTAGATAGGTTCTTTCTAATTCATGTATTTAAGGTAGGAATGAATGGAATAGAAGGCATGCAATTTTAGAAAACAAGAAACCTCTGGCCATTCTCGCCAAGAAAGGAGAAACATGTTCTACTCCCGCCAAGAAAAGGGAGCTATCCAAATCCTTCACGTATCATTTGGTATAAGAGCCCGTCATGGGCACTCACGCTCAACGCATCGAAGTTCTCGAAATAGCCACTCAAGAGAATCAAATAGGCATCCAGGCGATCATAGATCAATTGGCAGCCGATTAGCTCGTGGTCAACTAGATCGCTCAAGATCGTGCAGCCAAATCTGACGAACGAAGCTCCGACGATGGAGAAAGATCCATCAATGGCTGGTTCCGCCGACCTCAGCCCGACGATTTTGATGATCAGGACCACCATCCCTTCTTTGGGGCTAAAATTGCCCGCCTGGAGTTCCCCACCTATGCGGGAGAAGACCCAACTGTCTGGTTCTCCCGCGTTGAACAGTTCTTCGAGTTCCAAGCCATTCCGGAAGGCCAAAAGGTGTCCTTGGCATCCTACCATCTCGAAGGTGACACCAATCAATGGTGGCAGTGGCGGAGGAAGGCATACGATTGATAATATAAATCGTGGTGGAGAAAGCAAAAGACTAAATAAGAGAGGGAAGATGAGCATGATGAAGAAGAGTGATACCGGTTTCGACCAAGTGTCGATGCTTATGTTCAGCCAAGTCATTTTGATATAGGGTGCGAGGAGGAGTAAGCAGATAGCTTATCCCATGAGTGTGGAGAGAAGAACAAAGCTTGTGAAATTCACCACCACCATCGGTGTAAATGCGACGAATGGTGGTAGAAAAATAATCCTCAACCATGGTTCGAAAATCTAAGAATACTTTAAGCACATCAGATTTGCGGCGAAGCGGATAATACCATGGGTAACGAGTGAAGTGCTCAATAATAATCAAATAGTACTGAAAACCATCAATTGAGGTAACAGGAGCAGGACCCCAAACATCAGTATAGATAATATCAAAAGGTCTAGTACTCGAAAGGGATGAAACTCCAAAAGGGAGTTTATGAGATTTATTTGAAAGACAGGCATCGCAATGGTTAAGAGAAGATGCAGAAGAAACTGGTAGGGATTGAGAGCGAAGTAAACTGCAGAGTGACTGATCGGAAGGATGACCAAGCTTCGAGTGCCATGAATTTGTGGAAGTGCGAGTGGTAACCAATTCCATGAGAACAGGTTCTTTCTTTGGCGGCAACTCATACACATCACCTCTGTTTTCCCCTCTCAACAGCTGTACCCCCGTGCGAAGATCCTTAACAACAAAATGTGTGGCAAAGAATTACACGGACACTGGGTTAGTAAGACATAATTGAGAGACAAAAATAAGATGCTTTGTGATAGCAGAAACATGTAAAACTTCATGTAACGAAAGAGTGTGAGGACCAGTAGAGAGTTGAGAAGAGAAAATATGACTAATCCGCAAACCTGAGCCATTGCCAATAATTATCTCATCAGGTTCGGCATAGTCTGAATAGAGTGATAAATTCTCAAGGTCGGTAGTGACATGGTGAGAGGCGGCCGAATCCATCATTCATGGATTTGGAGGGGCTGAACTTGGGGCACATGGCTTGGAAGAGGGAGCAGTGTTGGTCAAATGGGCCTGAGCTTGGCGGTGCTGAAGAAGAGCCTGGCGGGCTTGATGAAACAATTGGAAACACTGGCGCACATTGTGCCCATGTTTCTCACAATACAATAGATTAGGCGAGCCCGGCGAGGAGAGGCAGTAGATGAGTCGCCAAGAGAAGATAGGCCTGAGAAGGCCTGATGAGATGGGCCAGATGCTCGCTAGAGCCCATCGGGGTGTGAACGTAGAGACAAGCCGTCAGAGTGGGGCTGCTGGAGAAGTCCGCTGGCAAGGAGATCGAGGATTGGGAGAGCCGCCAAGACACTGTCCTTGTGTGTAAAAGGCAATAGGGAAGGCAGTAGACTGTCGTGCTTTAAGGTCAGACTCATATTCAATGGGTGAGTCAACTAGATCTTCAAGAATGAGAGACCTAGGCCTTTACACGAACGGCAGCGGAGAATGACTGGAATTCATCATCTCAGGCCACGAAGATAATAAACTAAAAGATCGAGGTCCTTCACGGGCTCTCCAATAAGAACAAGCTCCGTAGTTGTGGCCTTAAGATCATTGACGAAAGAGAGGATGTCACGATCGCCTTTGGCTTATTTTGCTAGCTTGCCTTTCAGATGAATGATTCGTGACTGAGCGTTGCTTGCATATAGCTTCTCCAATGTTAACCAAGTATCACAGGCCGTCGATGCAACCGAGACAATACAATAAATAGATTCATCAATTGAACATCGCAGGGCATGAAGGATGAGTTTGTCCTGCCTGAACCAATTGTGATAATCTGGATTTGGTGCAGTGGCAGCATCTATTGTGATCAATTGAGAAGGAGCGACAACGGTTCCATCTATGAATCTGATCAGATCAAGTCCCATGAGGAGAGTTTCTAGCTGGGATCTCCATGAAGCAAAATTCATCGGCGTCAGTTTTAGGGGAAGCTGAGCGGCCATATTGAAGGTAATGATCTGGATCTTTGAACTTTTGGATCCTTTGCTTGAATCTCATGCATTTGCGTCTCCTGTCATATTGGTAATCCGCAGAGGAGAGTGAAGGTGAAAGGAAACAGATACGAGAGGAAGAGAAGATAGAGAAGGTAAGAAGGTATGGATCAAATTACAATTGATCTTTGCTAGCTCTGATACCACGTTGAATATTGTGGATTTTGTGATTATTGAGAATCAAAAGTGATCTTCTCATTGATACGTTGAGAACTAATATTAGGGGTGTTCAAAAGGTTTGGTTACCGTGGTAACTAACCGTTTGCTTGTCCCCAAGAAAACCTAACTCAAACCAATGCAACTCTCCAGACCTCTATAGCAACAAACAACCCCGATCGTCGGTAGAGGATTTCCTAGATCATATAGCAGCTTACGAGGTCAACTGGTCTTCTAAGACGTTCCCTATCTCTCTCAATGCGAGTACTAGACTCAAGTCGGGATCATGAGAAGAAGTAGAAGTAAGACAGTCAGTTCATGGATAAAGGGACTCATATCATTCACAACCAAGGACTCGTTGTACCAGGGTGCTCTTTTCACTTCATTTCACCGTTGGAACCCCTTTTTCACTTTCACTTTATTTCTTTTTCTCTTTTTTCATTCACTTAGTGGGGGTTCCAACTGCAGTCTTTTGCACGGTCGACCCTTATTAGTCGAGCAAGAGCAATTTTTGTACATCTGGCGCTCGCCAGAGTACTTCTTTTAACTCCTTTTCCTCAACTCGTGTGGAGGGTCAATGAAATTAAGGGGGGTCGGAAGCTCTATTCCTTCCCTTAAAAACACATCCTCAAGTAGGCAAACCGTTCAACGGGTGGAAGTTTTACTTGTACTAGAGACGGCTTAGCTTCACCTTGTAGCAGTACCCCACTAAGGATCACTAAAATCTCTTCCAAAACCCGATTTTGTGCAATGAATGGTGCCGCACGCGTTGGGCTTACCCCATGTTTAAGATTTAATGATTTCTACATGGAGGAACAACTGCTTTTCATTTTCCACATGGGAACCATGTTCGATACACGAGTCCATAACACAATCCAAATAGAGTCACCATTATCACATGAATTCAACGGTCTTAGCTCCACTAATTCACAAAATCAACTGGCACAGCAGAGAGCTAGATAGGAAAAATCTTAAACTTCAACATCCTCCATAGTGCTACACTACCTCCCTAGGTTGCACATTACTATAGAGACTGTCAATTCAAAGCATACTGAGCAGGCAATTTGCAAGGAAACACGTACTTGAAGCCCTCAAATTTTAAAATTTGGACAGTGGACTAGGCTCCAAGCACACAAACAGATCTAATGCAGTCAAAAGAGAAACATCCCCCCCCCCCCCACACACACTTAAGATCGACATTGCCCTCAATGGAGAAGAGGGAAGGATAAGGGGAACGATGTTACCGGTGTGCACGGACTGCATGAGACTGGAAAGGGACCAGTCGGAGTGAAGCGGACTGGAGAAGGACCAGTCAGGGACAAAGCACAGCTAAAGGGAACACAAGAACTCAAACACAGTATGTTAGGTCCAATGGTCAGCCCAATAGTACATCATCCAAAAACAAGAGAAAGAAAAGGAAATAAAAAAAAAACACAAGACAGTTTTCATGCTGACAAAAAGGAAAACAACACAAAACGGGGCCACAAGTACAGCCTACTCGAGCCCGGTGAAGTCAATCTGGTCCATGAGATCGTCGACCCCCTCTGGTGGTGATGGTGGTCGCGGTGGCGGCGGGCGGA